TGGCTTTAGTTTTGCACACAAAATACTCTATAGGACTTTATAAACGATATTCAGAAAGCTTATCCCACGTTAACGGGCACAGACTGTGGTAAGGTCTTTTGGATTAGGTTTCAAACTTTCATCACGCCTTCGTCTATCCACATTGCATATGGAACGATTGCACTGCCTTTAAAAATTATTTCTAAGTGGTTCCAAAGATTCAAAAAAAAAATTTTTTTTCGTAGAGAGCCAGTCTGGAGAAAATCGACGATAATCTTACACTGAAGACGTCACTGTAACTCTGGTGAAGTCCAAAATAGACGAAGACCACGACTGACACAAGAAATGATTGCTAATTAATTGGGCTTGAATGCCATGGCTGTATCGCGAATATTAAACAATCATCTGGAATACACGAATAAACAAACCAAGAACAAAACAACAGTTCATGGTTGGGCTTCATACAAGAGCAAAGCTACCCGTAAAATCTAAGCAACAAAAACCAGCAGCAAATGTAGTAATGTCAGGTTACTTCACCCGATCTAAAATCCCAGCTGATATTCAACGGGAGAAGCATCAGACGTTAACGGAAAAATGGTACAGAGTGCGTACCAAAAGTTTGCAAAACCCGAATACAGAGGAGAGGACAACGTACCATCCCACACTGCAGAAATGACGAGTATTTTTATTGCGATCTCTTGAATCGAAGAAATACGTCCAGCATCATATTCCCCTGAAAAAGCACCTTGTGATTTCTGGTTGTTTCTAAAATGTAAAAAATTAAAAGAGAAGATCTTTAATAGCAACGAGGAGATAATTAATCTAGTTAATGCTGAACTTGATAAGTTTAAAAAACAAGATCTTAAAGACAAAAATCAATGGCGATTATGTAGAGAAGATAAAAAGGAGCAAGGAATAAGAATGAATGTAAAAAGAATTTTTTTCTGGTCATCTTACCGAACTTTTGTTTATCCCCTTTTATATAACGACTTTAACGAAGCGTTCGATAGAGTAAATCATTTCATAGTTTTTAAAAAGACTGGATCTTCTTGGGATTGTGTCTAGTCTTCTTCAATGGATAACATCTTATCTCTGTAACAGAACGCAAAGAGTTGTATTTAAAGATTCCTTCTCGTACATAATTGTTGTACCCTCAGACGTTCCGAAAGGTAGCCACCTGGGACCGATATTGGTGTACTACGGCTCAGCGGTGTGGAATCGTGATTAAAATGTCCATTCAGAAACAGTTTTTGTTGCTTGCTTTGCGTCACTTCCACTGGGATTCTAACCAATACTAGTCGCCTATAATTTATAAATCTATCTACACTTTATAGCTGTAGAGAAAAGCTAGGTATGATTTTTTTTAGTAAAACTGTCAAATGGATTGATTTTCAGCTGATTTCTTGCAGGTGAAGTAAATTTTAATGTCCTCGTTGCGATTATTATAACAGTTTAGACCATTATTTATATGATCAAGTAAAACCAATTTGAACTATATGAACCATTTCGCCGTACATATCAAGATTCCATTTGTTATTCCAGCGCATTTGATTTGGCAAACTCACTTTTCGTAAGGAAAAGCACTATATTATCATCTCTCAAGGGGTAAAGCCACTGTAGAGGTTGAAAAATATACTCATTTAAAAAAAAAAAAATTTTTGGAATATGGGAAAAGTAATTTAAGGGGTTACATACGTCCAGCAGCACCAAAAATGCGCTAAAACAAAAACTGTTTTCAGAAGGGATAACAATAGAAATAAATATAAAGAAATTTTATACAATGTTTATTGGTACTTAAAGTTTATAAAAAAATGTATTTTAATTTTTCTTTACAAAAATTAGTACATAAAATATCACGTGACCCAAAATACAATGAAAAAAAGTTGCTCCACGGTCTGCATCATTTATCCTTGGAATGTTGATGGATCTGTAAAAATAAAAAAAATTCTTGTGAAATGAAGTTGTAGTTATAGTCTGTCGAGCCGAATTTTTTAATTTCGAAAAATTTTCCAATTTACGGAATTTAGAAAACAAGTATGCGTTTTACGTCATAAATGTCACACTTTAATTATGTTCATAAAATTTTTTAATAAAAATATCAAAAATACTGCTCGACAGACTATAGAGAAAACATTTTCGAATATTTAAAAAAAATCGCATCAAAAAATGTTAAAAACTGTATGAGTTATCATGCAGACCGTGCCGGGAAAAGTAGTTTCGAGAAAAACGCGTTTAAACTTTCATGTGTCATGTGTGTGTTACAGCTACCTGTGTGCATTAAACTCTCGTCGGGCGGTCTGATTTTCCACCATAACTTTGTATCTATGGGGAATTTTTACAATCGACTTTCACAGAAATACGCCTAAAACTATAAAGAATAATAACCTATAAAAAAAAATCGATTTTTTGAAAATTCTGGACGTATGTAACCCCTTAAATTCTATTCAACCATTTCATTGAACATATATTCAAGTATAAAAAATACTCTTTAGTTTTTATTATTATTATTTTTATTTAATCCATGTATTTTCGAAGACGTCAACGAGAGGACCTATTTCTTCTAAGGGATGAGACCTAGAACAGAAAAGCAAAGAGTTTTAAGTATGATCTACAAACTGTGGCCTTTGGAAGTACGTACGACCTTATTTTTTAACTAAGTTTTGTAAAAGCGGCATACTTTTTTTTAACATTGCTTTTTGGCTAAAAACACGCACTAAATTATTAAAAAAAAGGTTTACATTTAATCGAAAAGCGGCTACGTACTTCCAAAAAAAAAGTATTTGTGAAGCTACCTTCAAAATTTCAAATAAGTCGATGCAAAAGGGTCCAAATAATCTGTCCTCCCGATTTGAAAAACGTGATTTTTGCTGCAACACAATAAAAATTTCAGCTATTTGAAATACTCTTTTCATTTTAAAACCAATTGGATATTATTTTTAGTACCCAAGGATACCCTGTGAACAAAAAAAAATCCTGAAATGGCTTTACCCCTTAATAAGTAACTTTATAAACTTCCTTAATTGCATAATCAATCGCATATATCAGCTGATGACTTTGTTTGTCTGTAGCTGAGCAGTTTTTAATATCGACAAATTCTGCACGTCATGCAGATAGCGCTCTTCGTGTCGGTTGGACGGCAGGAGGGTAACCATTGGGCTTATTATTATTATTATTATTATTATCAAGCGAATGGAGACTTACTTTCATGTTATTTTTAAATGTCATTGCATTTTTTCTTATGTACAATTATTAATTATTTTTTATTTTATTTATTTATTTTTTTTTTTAAACCTTCAATCTTTTATAATTTAATTAGTTCCCATCATTTTACCGCAAATTTAAATAAATGCATGAAGAAATCAAACAAAACTTAGCACAGAAACAAGTGTTAATAATACATGCGTAGATACATATGTATTTAAAATAATTATTTCGAACATGCAAATCTTTTTTTTCGTAATAATTATATATACAAATAATCATTTGATGCACGTAATGACAAAATAATTATATACGTACATATATGTATACATTTGTATATGATTAATGCTTTATAACTGTTGAAACCATTTTCGGCCCAGCTCCTTCTCCATTTTCTGATCGTCGGGTAGGATAACTTTTTCAAAAAGTGGAAGTACCAACAGTTTATTCTAATTTTGTTCTTCAGAATTCTAGATGTTGATTTGGCCAAGACACGCACCCATAACCCTCTGCATGGCTGCACAAATTGCTTTTCACCCGACTCTACTTTATAATTTTTGTACATATATGCATAGTTAAATACCTATGTAATTCCATTGTTTTTATCACGCTAACAGATTATTATAGAAAAAAAATGCATTTATACAAAATGCTAAATTCACTAAAATTAATATTCACAGCATTTAAGTGCTTTTCAAATAATCAGCTTCACCAAAGTAATCAGTTCGTCACATATCTTTATATTACTTGTTTAATTTAACCGACTATTTATTTTATGATTATTTACCCATATATATATGAGTACTAATAATACATATATATTTATATACATATTTATATGAGTACATGCATGTACATATGCGAGAAATGAGAGTAAGCTCAAGTGAGCGAAATTTCTAGCTGCTCATGCTGCGTATAAATAAATTTATGTACACATGCATATACGTAGATAATCAGCGTTACTGGTTTTTATCAATTAAAACAACATTTAGCGGACTTATCAATGAGAAATATGCACGCGTTTGCAAAATTATATATGTACGTACATATATGTTTGTGGAGACTGACAAATGACCGCAATCAAATTGTGTATAAAAAAACACTTTTCATTTGCAGTTTAAATAATTTTGTCTTTTTCGTATTTTCCAATTAACGTCATTGCCTGTAAATAAAATTTTTCCTACTTGAACTAAAGAATATGCAACAATGAATATTTTTTGAGCAAAACCCTTATAGTAACTTAATTAATTTAATTTTATTTTATTTCAATTTAATTTATTTATTTATTTCATTTTAATTAATTTTATTTCATTTTATTTAATTCAATTTAATTTTAATTTATTTTATTTTATTTTATTTTATTTTATTTTATTTTAATATATTTTATTTTATTCTATTTTATTTTAATTTAAATTTATTTTATTTTATTTTATTTTATTTTATTTTATTTTATTTTATTTTATTTTATTTTATTTTATTTTTAATTTTTTATTTTATTTTATTGTATTTTATTTTAGTTTAGACATTTTATTTTGTTTTATTTCATTTTATTTAACTTTGTTTTGTTTTAAAGTAAAGTGTTTATTTTTTACTTTGCTTTTCGTTTTACTTTACTTTCTACTTGATATACACATACTCGTATATTAGTTCTGTTTTTTATTCTAATATCCTCTCAAAACATTCAAAACTATTTTGTGATTGCTGGTATCTCTTCAAATCAAACTAGTTCGCTCTATCCCAAACAAAAATTTAATTTCACTAAGATTAATTTAAAACACTTTTCTTATCTTCTGTCCTACTTATCAGTTAGTACGCTTGAAGTGCTCCAACAGAGTGGTCGTGAACGATTTTAATTTAAATTATGAGTTCAATAACCGCATCCGGGGAGTATGACAAGGACGAATTGGTGCCGCCGCATTGGTTGAACAATACCTTCTTTGAGCAAGTTTTGAAGCCGCCAAAGAGCTGTGCAAAAATTCAGATTGCAAATATAACAATTCAGCCGGCAACGAAAAAGGGTGAACACTATGCGAGCGTAATGTTCCGTGTGAATGTGGCATACACTTTGGCCAACAGCGATTGTGATGCCGCGCAAAGTCTGCATTACAAATCGCTCATTGTGAAAGCTCTACCTGTGCTGGAGGGCGAGAAGCAGCTATTGCTACAGGACTCAAAGCTCTTCGAAACCGAAATCGGTATGTACACTGAAGTGGTGCCGCAACTAGTGGAAGAGCTAAGATTGGCAGGGGAAGTCATACGATTTGGTGCCAGGTACGCAGTTATTTATTAATTGTATGACAAATTTAAATAAAAGAAATTATACAGCTGTCTCCATCATTCACTGACACCGCTAAAAGTGTTGGTTTTCGAAGACTTAACACAAGTCGGCTACGAGATTGTTAGAGGGCGAACGCTGACACTTGAGGAAATAAAAATGGGCTATCGAAAGCTGGCAAAATGGCATGCAGCAAGCTATAAATTGGCGAAAAAGGTATTGTGCACACTTTATTTAAAAAAAAAAAAAAAAAAAACATTATTTTACTACTAAAATCTACATTTCATTTTTAGCAACCCGCAATCTTTGATAAATTCCGGCATAGCTTTATGACCATACCTTACATTGTCAATAGCTCATTTATAGCCAGTGGCATTAGCAATTTCATCACACTGCTCGATTCGTTGCCAACTCTAAAAGCCTTCAAACCCTATTTCGAACTCTTGCAACCTGATTGGGCCTCCAAATGCCGCGCTACCTACACAGAATATTTTACAAATCGTCATTCTGAAAACTATTATGGCATTTGCCATGGTGATTTTCTCAACAACAACTTAATGTTTAGTCGAAATGATGCTACTGGTGAGTTGTCGGATGTCTTACTTGTGGACTACCAACTTTCGTATATGGGACCGTTAGTCAACGATCTGATTTATGCTTTCTATATGATCTACACCGCCGAACAGCGTGCTAGACATCATCAGGAACTTTTGAAATATTATTTTAAACAATTCTCGGCAACCTTAAATAAACTAAATTTTCGATCAGACTCAATTACTTTTGAACGACTCCAAGAACAACTAAAGCGGCAAAAAATTCTAGGTAAGGTCAGAGAAAACAATACCAATAACAGGTTTTTATTTTAATTAACCATATCTGTAAAGAGTGTGACAATTAAGTAATTAGACTGATTGTGTTGCCGCGATTGTGGTAACCCTGCGATCTTGAAATTCCCTTTCCCTTCTTCGGGCACCCTTTTACTCTCCATTGATATATTTGCTATCGATCTAGCTTGTTTACTTCGCCTGCTGTGTCGTGTCAAAAAGAGTTCGCATGAGCTAGTCAAAGGTGAAAACGACGATTATTGCATTTTTCGATAGCCGTGGAAAAAATTTCTTCCACCGGGCCAAGCCGTAAATCATGTCTACCATCGCCAAGTATTCGAAAGCTTGCGAAAACGGGTCAACAGGGTGTACTCATACATTGCGCGTAACTCGATCCTTCATCACGACAACGCATCGTGCCACATTGCCCCCATCGTGTTCCAGTATTTGGCCTCTAAAGGGATCGCCGTGTTGCAACAACCGCCTTATTTGCCCAATATGTCACCCTTTGACTTTTACTTGTTCCCTAGAACAAAATCGATGGTCAAAGCAACCCATTTTGAGTCGATTGAGGACATCCAGACGGCCGTGACGCGGGTACTCGCAGACATCCCAGTCGAAGCGTTCCAGAAATGTTACGAAGCATATGTCCTTCTGTTCGTCTCTGCGTCGGTTTATACGCAAACTAGTTCCTCGTTTTTGAGATATTTTTTTTTTTTGATCTTAAATTTGTCAATAGGGTCTCTAGGAGCACGAAATTTTGTATTGTATTCTACACGCGTATTAACAAATAAAAATGACACCGAAAAGGATTGAAGTCGTTTTCGAACCACTTAGTTGAGATATGAGAACTAATATTTAATCCTTAAATAAAATAACACAAATTTGATATGCTCATGAAAGCTTTATTTTAAGTTACTTAATTTCTTTATTAAAAAAAACACTTTACCTATTATCATAAAATTTATTGAAATTATTCATTGCAGCACTTTTTCTTCTGCTCAGCTTCATGCCTATCCGTTATGCCCTGCGAGCTGGTCTGTTAGATAGAGATTATATGACGGCCACAGACGAGGAGCGTAAAGCGCTTTACTGTGATAAAAATTACATTGCAGAGTTGCATAACATTTTACCAATGTATTTAAATTTAGGTTATTTACAATAAAAATTTAGAAAATGCAATTAAATTAAAAAAAAATTCCCTCGGCTCATTTGAGCTATTCCTCGAAATAACCCAAATGCAGAAATCTCGGCAGCAGTATACGCAGCTCATCTAAAATTTTTGGATTCGCATAATAAGCACGCCGTGCCGTCTCCGATTCTACCAATTTATCCATTTCGATGCTCTCATCGACCAGTGCATAATTGAAGTAGAGCAGCGTGAATATCAAATATAAGCCTATTTGGGTCAGTAAATGATGGACGAGAACATAAACACATAGAAAACTTTCAAGCATTCTTCATATACTCGTACATACCCCAATGCCGGTATGCCTGCATCTCAGCTCTAATTTCCTGTATGGTTGGTATATGACCATGGAATTCGACTTTACGCAAAGTCTCTTGCAAATTGATTATATAGTAATAGAGCAGTTCGTCCATTCTCTCACGACGCATGCTAGGACTATACATCATGGTGAAGGCGTAATGTAAATCGATCGCAGGCGAACCAAAAATGCTCACTTGATAGTCCAACTGTGTGAAGAAATAATATTATGTATTGATTGATTATGAAATGAAAGTTTGTGCGTATCACTTCTTACCACCATTAGATCCTTCAGCTTATTGCCGTCGTTCTTCACCATTAAATTTTTCACATGAAAATCACCGTGATTTAATACTTGCACACCACTTTGATTGCCGTTTTTCGTTGCATTCAGGAGGTCTATAACCTTGGGTATTAAAAAACGCTCCACCGATTCTATATGTGGTAGGAATTTTTGCAAATCGGATTGGTCGCTGATCACATCTTTAATTAATTTAATACCATTGCCGAGTACAGGAAAATCAGCTAAATCGATTGTATTGACGAAAGTTTTATTGAAGTTTGCTAAGTCGTGGTTGTTATCCTGGGAATTTAAGAGATTTCATTACTTCATTAATAAGTAACAATAACAAGTACAAATAAAATAATAATTTGTTCAAAAAAATATTTAATATTTTTTTAATATATTCATATTTTAAGAAATAATGATTTTAAATAATCAAAATCTAATTTCAAAAGTCTCCATACGATGCAGTCGCCGTGATATTTTTTATTTCGTGCTATAGGGAGCTTGAGTAAGAACATGGAGATGGATGGATGTTATTATGACATCTGTCAAACTTAAGTGCCAAACCAAACGTGGTTTTTTATTACCTAAAAGTCAGGGATTTCTGAGAACGGATCGCTTAACAACCGCACAACGCGTTAAAATTGTCGTAAACGAAAATATTGAGGCCAACGTGGCCACGTTTCGTGCTTTAGGATGAGATTTTGATGCATATATATATAATTGTCTAACTACTCAAGTAGTCGTTTAAATTTTAAAGCCATTTGAAATGCAAATATCGCTGCTCTAAGGGAAAGTATAGCTTAACCTGAATGTGTATATTTCTCGATATTTACAAGAGCTGGAACTTTCTTACGGCACATTATGACGTATTTGGCACTTGGGCTTATTACACCTACATCCAACAAGTGCAGCAGGCAATGACATTTCTCACTCGGAGGATGCCTGAGAAACAAAATTTTCGCATTTGGATCAGCGAGAATTGTCCAATAGAGAGGCCATCACACCCAGCGGAGGTGTTCTGCGACCTTACTTTTTGTTAACGACAACGGCAGACTATGGACATATGATGAAGAACACGTCTTTTAATATATCTTACTTCAACAAGATGATGCCACATGCCACACAAAGCCCGTGAATATGTTTTTATTGCGCAGGAAATTTCCCGGCCCCATAAAGATTGTGTTTCTGCGAACAAATCATTAACTCTTAAGCACTTTAAAATAAACATTCGTCAAGTTATGGCTAAGATAACCTCCAATTAAACCATTAAATACTTACCCTGTGTATCATTTGATAACTAATTGCATGCATTTTGGCCAATTTCGTTAGTGCCATTTTGACTTCTTCCAAACTGCAATGGCGATTATTTATGGTTGTGTAGCCCTCAACTACGAGATCTTCGAAAACAATACAACGTGGCGCCTGAAGACTGTAGTGGAAAAGCCTAAGAGAGAATTATCAATAATATATCATTCATTTTCTCCGAAAATAGTTGAAATGAAATTTGTGAAATTTAAAAACCGTAAAAACCAATCTCGACACAAAATTCCAAAAATTTATTAATTTCTTCTGGCAAAACTCAAAAATAGCAAAGTTGGCAGTTTGGAATTAAATTGAAAACCGAAAATCAATAACTACAATCTAGAAAAATATTTCTCTTAAAATTAAAAAATTATTATTAAAAAGTTTTTTTTGATGAAATAAAAAATTGTCAGAATATTTTATTTTTCTTTGATGAAATAAAAATTACCGTTAAAACTATGGATCGATAATTATCTTTACTTTTGGGTATTCAACGAATAACACATTGACTTATCTATAAAAAAAAATGTTCCGTTCAGTTTGTTTTTTCGATGAAATAAAAATTCCTCAAATCCAAAATAATATTTTTCTTGAAAAACTAATAACTTATTAGAAAAAAAATAAGGTTTTTGTTGAGGGAAAAATTATCCGCTAAAAGATTTTTCTTAGCGAAACAAAAAATTTGCTGCAAAAATTTTTTTTCGATGAAATAAAAATTCCTGAAATCCAATACAACATTTTTCTTAATAAGAAAAATAAAATTATAAAATAACAAAGCACAATCTTTTTTAAGAAATAAAAAATAATCAGTTAAATTATTTATCTTGATAATATAAAAATTATTCAGTCAAAATATACTTAACATTTTTCTTGATAAACAATAAATTATTATGAAATAAAGAATGTTTTTGGTGAAGCAAAAATTATCTGCTAAAATATTTTTCTTAATGAAATAAAAAATTTCAGTCTTCAGTATAATATTAATAAATAATTATTATGAAAAAATTATATAATATAATATAATATAATATAATATAATATAATATAATATGTATAAAATATTAAAATAATATTTTTGGTGAAATAAAAATTGTTAGTCAAAATATGATATTTTTCTTGATAAATAATAAATTATTATAATAAGATGAATATTTTTGATGAAGCAAAAAATTATCAGAATATTTTTTTGATGAATGGAAAAATAATCGGTTAAATTATTTTTCTTGATAAATAAAAAATTGTCATTTAAAAAAGATATCCTTATCATTTAATAAAAACATTTTTGATAAAATACAAATTTATCAGTTAAAACTTTGTTATTTATGAAATAAAAATTATTCTGTCGAAATATAATATTTCTATTGATAAGTAATAATTTATCATAATTAATAGAAGTTTCTGGTTAAATAAGGAATTAATAAAATTTTTTTTTGTTAAATAAAAAATTATTGGTGAATATATTTTATATATATGATTTAAAATAAGTTGGAATTTTAATATTTTAAATGAAAGATAGAATTATTATTATTAAAATAAATATATTTAGTAAATTATAAACAAATACACGTTTGTTAAAAAAAAATAGCATTGAAAAATGTTCTTGACGAAATAAAAAAATATCTGCCAAAAAATGTTTGCTTGATGAAATCAAAAGAAAAAAATTATCGCTTAAGCAATTTCATAAATTCCTTTATCGGCAAACACTCTTCGTTTAATGTTTTATAATTTCTTATATATGTAACTACCTACTGCCGGCACATTTTTAGTATTTCCAATTAAATACAAATATATATGTAAATGCAAAAATTACATTTCAAAAACAGTTAGAGTAACCACAAAAAGCTATTTGCCAATTGAGTGACATATACAAATATATGTGTGTAATTATTTAGAATTTAAAACTTTTTGACACTTTTGTGAATTATAATATACATATATATTTAATTTTACTGTAAACTCACTTGGGTGCCAAAATCGTTTGATCACCAAACTCTCGCAATTTCGCCTCAATTTTCGGCAACACTTTCGTATACACGCCCACTTCGGTTTCAAATAGTGGCACTTCATTCATTTTATCCTTCTTCACACCATCCACAAAGGGTTCCGTTTTCATTACAAACGCCCGATATTTCTCCTGTGTGGGCTGCGCGTGAAGCGTGTACTTAAGTTTCGCGCGAAACAATATGCTCGCGTAGTGATCATTTTTCGCTGTGCCTGACGAGAGTAGCAAATTGTGTATCTACAATTTTTGGAAATATTTCAATTTATTACTGACTAATTTTTTTCTTTTTTTTGTTAATTTTTTTTTTTATTTTATTAAATTTCTGCAGCAACGTCACCTGCACATTGTCACATTCACTTTTTTCCAAAATTCGCTTGAAGAAATCTTCATTTATCCACGCCGGTGCATTGAGGTCATCCTCTTCGCTGCATTTATTGCTATTGCCCATGATTGTTTAAAAATTACTGAGTAAAGTTGCTGAATTTTGCAACGCTTTTATAGCTATCATAAATGTGATTGTATATATATAATATATGTGAGTGTGTTTTACAGTGAATTTAATCTCGTTTTTTAGAGCAGAAAAGTAAAAAAAACTCTTATCGAAATTTAAAGCACATATATTTAAGTATTTATGTACTTCATAATAAGAATTCAGACTTGTTTTAAAGAAATATTAAATCAATAAGCAAGCAAACCATTTTTTTCTTTTAATTTTTCTTTGGCAAATGTCATATTTTGTCAGTAGCAAAAAAGACAAGAGTCAACCACGCTTTAAATTGTATTCTATACGAAATATTATCAACTTATTTAATTAATCTTAAACATTATGCTCGAAAAGCCCTTTCACAAATATGAAGCTTATACCAAAATATTTGACACACATTGCTGGGTTCTGTTTCACTGCGGATTATTAATAGCAGTTGTAGATAACAGGTGTTTTGTCTCACAAAAATATGCCACGGTTTTGGAAGTTTCAACACCTCACTACTAATGCTTGCTTGCTTTTGGCATTGAGGCGTTTCGGCCTCTCTATCGCTCTCTCTCTCTCTCTCTCTCTATCGCACTCTCACGTCGCACATTGCTATTGATCACAGCGCAGCTTTATGGTCAGTGCTTCTAATATTTGCTTGAAAACTGCTTTCAACGCTTACAAACCATTTTGCAGAAATTGTCATCGTTGCAAAAACGAACCGCTTCATATCAGTGTTAGGGCGTTGAACTTGGCCTTTGCACATTTGTAAAAATTTCGATCTTTCAAGATCAAGATCCAGCTACTTTGAATGTATACCTGACACGAAGGTGAATATACAACTACGTCGGACATTCGGCTTAATGCTTGCAGAAGAGACATATGAACATGTCAAAAAATATAGATATGAACATAGAGCTTAAGCGACCAACTCACTTCCGAGAGATCGGAATAGGAAAACAAGGCAAATTATCAGAGCGAAACAAATGAATATGTCTATGAATAGCTTAAAAAGCTGACCGATAGATATAATGTTCTCAAATGTTATCAGAAAAGGTGGCGACTATTAGAAGGTTACAAGACCGGAGCAAACAAATATGGCTACTGGAGATTATCTGGCTACTAATGTCCAGAGTAGAGTTCGTGGATATAACTCTACTCCAACCTGCTAAGCTGCAGCGATGATAATAGAATAAGTATACCATTACTCGGTTATGAAAAATTCAAAATATAGCTGAAAAATATTAGAAACGTGATCAAAATTGGGAAGAAAATTTCCATGCTGCTTGATTTCAAACGAGTCTTGAAACAAGTTGACACTCTTTCTTGAGACTTCCTAAGCTAGAATGCTGTAGAAAATAAAACTGAAAAAGTATAACCTTCTACAAGAGCGTACAACTACGAAGTGATCCATATACGCCTAGTATTAAAAGAGGATAAGACGAAATATCTCATATAGAGTTAGCGCACACGCGTCTTGGCTCCCACGTTATTGGTGGCACTCATAACATTGACTTCGTAAGCACCTCTATCATGGAACAGAATCACGTCAACAGTTGAAAAGTAAAGTCCGCTCTCGATGGACAAAAACTAAACTCTCTCGCTCACCATTCGCGCATTGTATAGGGTGCCGAAGCACAGACGAAGACGATAATTCGGCTTTAGGGGTTTTCGAGAGAAAGGGTTTGCGAATGACTTATGGACTTTTTCACAAGGGCAATGTCAAGCAATATCAATAAATATCTACGAAATAAACGGTAAAATTCAAATAGTTCAGTTAATAAAGAGATAGCGGCTTTGTTGGCTAGATACTGTTCTTCATATGGGCGGCAACACCCCAGGTGCGAAAGATTTCGATACAATAACCGCAGGTGGAAGCAGAGAAAGAGTAGAACGTCCACCACATTAAGACTATAAGGTGGACTTGGTGCCTGCAATTGGCACAGAATGATGAAGAAAATAAACTAATCGTTCATTAAATAAAATTTTTTCAGATCATACAGACCCCTTAAATGATATTTTAATTATTTTCTTTGGGTTATTAAAAATTAAAAATTTCATTTAAAATTTAGTTATTGCAGCAAATAGTTTAAATTTGGTAAAAAAAATACTCTTTCCTAATGCAGTCAACATTTTAAATGGAAATGCCGTACATATATACATACATTATATAGTATATATGTACATATGACCATTGGGTATTTCCACTTCAATAAATCTCAACCAAAAATTTCCATTCACCATAACGGATTGAATTCACTCTTTTTTTGTTTTTAATTGCTACCATTTCCATTTACACCAATCACAGTTGAAATGCAAACAACTTCTACACACACACACATACATACACCGGCTTATATGGAAATATTTTAGGTTAGAATAAAAAATATATAAAAAATATATAAAAAATATTTTAGAAAAAATGGAAGAAAACACGAATATGAAAGTAATAAAAACAAAGGTGAAAGAGAAAATATCCAACTTAAATGCTTCAATGGCGCAAACGGTTTGCTCTTCCGCTGGTAAAGCAATTAAGTGGCCACCCGCCGCTTAAAATAACAACAGGGCCGATACATACACACATATGTACGTAGAAACATGAATTTGCATTATTCACTATATAAGTACAGTCGTATGGAAAACGAGACTGATGAAATGACAAAATGAATATTTTTTATTTAAATTTTATATATTAAATTTTTTTTCAAATTTCATTCATTTTATACCAAAAAGTTTCCGTCTACTTTGATACAAAATGTTTAATGATTAGTTAATTCAAATGGAATTTGTTCGCAGTCTGGCTTTCTGGGGGACGCATGTTATACCTAGCGATATGTGTAAATATTGTTACGAAATCAAAGCGAGGAGTGCAGTAAAAGCATTTTTGCCTTTCACTTTACTTTTATGGCAATCAGCATCCACATCCGCATCCGCCTTTACATCCCTACATACATACATACATACATACATACATACGTACGTACATACATACATACTTCCGTTACGATTGCATATTAAACAAGTTGGATTGCCGACATTGAATGGTTAGAAACAAAGAATGAAACTCAATAAAAAAAAACGGAATTGAGTGAGAATAATAAAAGGTAAATGGACAGTTCTGTGCCTAAAAATTCCAACTAAAAACATATTGAATGAAAACAAAGCGCTGCCACTTGCAATGTAAATATAACAATATAATTACATACAGATTTACTTAACATACCAACGCATATGGCTACATACATATGACTGTTAAGGGTTATCCGTTTCGTGGCTTCAAAATTACAGAACTGTATTTGGATATCTGTAAAATTTAACTGACAAACCATACATATTTTGTTTTACTTAAAAATACTACAAAAAAAAGTGGGCCTAAAGGAAGAAGTCGCACGGTGTTAAATCACAAGATCGCAGTGAGCAATCGTGATCACTTCTTCGAGAAAACACACGGTGCGGAAGCTTTCCCTTTAAGAGATCGATGGTGTCGTTGCATATGTGGCACGTAGTGTTGTCTTGTTGAAAGTAAATGTTGTTCAGATAAATACCTTCCGATTGCGGCCATAAGAAACAATTAATCATCTCACAATAGCACAATTCATTCTATTTGCAACATCAAAAGATACATTCATCCTCTTTCAAATGCACCTAACATCATGTAAGTCGGATGACAGATGTAAAAGTGACAGGCATTTCAATAAAACCAAAAGTGTTCTAATGGTTTAAAAATAAAATGGAGCAAAAGAGCAAATATAAAATTTTGTGTCAAACTTGAAAAAAAAATAAATGAAACAAGTTTATTGTGATGAGTGTATGAGTCGTACGCAAGTTTATACGTGGTTTACACGATTTAAAAATGGTCATGAGGATTTAAATGACGACCCAAGGGTCGTCCAGAAACTAGTAATCGTGCTGAACTGGTGTAAAAAGTCTGTGAAATCATTGGTATCGATGCAAATTTTACTACGAGAATGTTGGCTGAGGAATTGAATACGAGTAAAAACACTATTTGGAAAATTTTAACTGAAGATTTGGGGAAAAGAAAGGTCTGTGCGCGATTTGTTCCACATGAATAAAATGACGACTAAAAAATCGCTCGAATTTTTAATGAAAAAAGGGATTTCTCTCATCGACCATCCTCCGTATTCGCCTGATCTATCACCATGTGACTATTTTTTATTTCCAAAACTGAAAACCAAGATGAAGGGAGCATTTTATGATGATATCCCAGCCATTCAAGCAGCCGTAACCGAGGTACTGAAGAACATTTCTATAAATGACATAAAAAAATCTTTGCATGCGCTGGTTGATCGTTCCAAACGTTGTGTTGAGTCAAATGGAACCTATTTTGAATAAATAATAACTTTCAAAGATAGTAGAATGTGTATTTTATTTTATATCCAAAAAGTTCAGTTATTTTTGGGACACACTGTATATGTAGCTATCGAGGTGGAAATGGGCTACTTCAGTCAAGATGATTTTTGATGAAATTCCGGTTCATGTTCATACATTTCAACACAACCCGACGTTATTGACGATCTTAAATTAACTGAACCGTAAGAGCGAAATATGGTAACAAAAACGAATGCAATATTCCAAAGAACTAGAACGAGGAATGAACAAATCTGTGCTTTCTTCGACCCTTTGGGCTACAGCAGCGATATTGTCAGTTGTTCTTCAAATCAGTATACAAAATAGCATACCTTATTGGAAAATGATTTATATATACTTATATATATATAATTATCGCTTTGTTACTGCTGAAGCGATTTTCGGCCGAGCTCCTCCTCCTGCCGAGGGGCTTTATAATAAAAAGGAAATTTCACACATAAAAATTATTTTAATTGATTTTTATTAACGAATATTTTCGAAACCGCAAAATGAAAAACCCCGTATGTATGTGCATATACAATGCAGTTAGAATAAAATTTAAATTTGTAGAAAAATACAATCAAAATCGAAATTTCGTTGTTTGTTTGTTTATTTT